GGGAAATGCCTTAACTCTATAGTCTCAAAGCACAGGGATAAATCCCACCTTTTCTGAATAAAGTACCAACACAATGACTATCATATGGTAGGCTCTGATGGTTCTTTCCATGCACAAGTCTTGCAGTTGCAAGCGACTCGAAGGCACATTAAGTACAGCTCTTGGGATTTTAACAACACTCTCCTCATTGTCAATTCTTCAATATTCAGGTCTTGGTCTAGTATCTCCCCTTTTCTATGGATCAATACAGCTAATGGATGAGGAAATCATCTTACCCTTTAAAGGTACTTAGCTAAGTACAATAATGTTCCTCTCTAAACTTGATCCTCCTACAATTACCAGTCATGATTACTATTCATACAATTGTCCAAGAATCTGACTCCTTCCTTCTTGGTTTCTCCATCACCTCCTACTCTGTCCAATACGTCTTGAGAGGTCCCATTCAACTGCTTCCTTCATGTATCTGGTTCACAAATCCCTCCTTACCCACTCTACTTGTCCCTCTTTATTATGTTTAACTCCTATTAGAGCTTCATCACTCACCTGCTGTGGCCTGCAAGCAGGAGACAGTGTCCTAAATGCAAATATTAATCATCTCATCCAAGGTAACACTGGCATCAGGATAATATCTAAATTCTTTAGCGAGGAACGTAAAGTCTTCCACAATCTGGTCTTGCCTGCCAAGTGTTCTCAACCTGGAATTCTGATATTCCTGAAGTGTTAAAATTATTTTAATAATTAGGCACATTTCTACTAAGGCTGTTATTTCTGAGACAGTTTCCCCTCCATTGTCATGATCTGCAATTTGACAAGAATTATTTCTTTTTTACAGACTTTTAAAAAACATTAAGCGCATAGAATTTAACATATCTCTACTTGGTAGTAAACTGTTATGAGACAGGGACTAAGTCTTATCATGTGACCAGCTGCTGACCTGTATATACTACACAGAAATCAAAAGGCATTTGTTAACTACCTGAACTAGGTAGTTCTAAAAACTGACTAGCATATTTAAGTACATAAAATAGGAAATAGTGTCCACATTAAAGATGTTTATTTAAGAATTTTTAACAGAAATTTTTGAAAGGGGCTGTTTTAATTTTACCATTTGATCTACCATATCTTTGTAAAGTTTAAGGATTTTCTAGGAAACATAAACTGAGTGGGGGTTCTTTTAACTAGAGAAGATGAGCAATTAATGTTTTCTTAACAATTGCTTTTAAAAATATTTCTTCTCTATTTTAACCAAGAGTTTAGAGAAAAGGGAAAATTAAAAGGGGGAGGCAGGAGAGAGGAGTCTCAAAATGAGCTACTTAATCATCACAAATATTAACATCAAATATTAACATTAACCAAATAAAGGAAACATTAAAACTAAATTAAGCTTATAAGTAAATAACTAAACACAAAGCTAAAAATCAATTTAGTTTGTCACTTTCAAGCTTAATATTTAATAACAAATGTGCCAATGTCTTTTCTGTATTTCTAAGGCAAAAGAAACTCTATCTCAAAAACAAACTCCTTTCTTTGAACTAGTTGCATTTCAAGATTTTCATAATGCAAAAAACCCCTTAGTTGCAAAATAGAAACTTGTGCACCCAAAAACAAGAGAAAAAAAGTTTCACCTTATAACCAAAACTAGGTAAAGGAGATCTAGAACAATCTCTTGAACACAAGAAATGAGGAGATGGCATTTTCTAGAAGGTCTTCACAGGACTTTTTACTGTAAAATGGTGGAATGAAAATTGGAAAGGCAAGCAGAGGCCTAGATCTTCCCAGAACCAGTTTCTGAAGGTGGGGGAGGGGACCAAAGATACTCCTTTATGTTCAACATTTCAGACAAGTAACCCAGGCAGAAGTTTTGACTTCCATAAAATGTCTACAAAGTTGTGGAAAATAGCAAAAAATAATATTTAACCAAGTATCTTCCCTGCTTATTTATAAGACAGGCCTATTAGGATTTTACAGATGAGGAAGACTGAAATTATGTAACTTATCTAAGATGATCACATTTTATAACCTAGATATTCTTTACCCTGAGACTGTCCAATGACTCAACAAATGTTTTCTTCTTTCTCAAACACAATTTCTTCCTAGTATATCTTGAAGGGGAAAAAAGAGAAATTTCACCTTTTGTTTTAAGCAACCTACTATCTATGTGGCATGGTGAATATAAAAGTTTATGTTTCAAATAAGCTTAAGCTTTCTCTTGCGAGAAACTTTTGTTGTACATTTAACTGTGACCATATTGCTTTTGTGACATCAATCAGTCCTGCCAGAGTGTGGTCCTCATGAACCAGGTTTTTCTGGGGCCTGATTTACACCCTGGGGGAAAAAATGACCACCCAGGTTCCAGATCTACATAATTAAGATTATGTGCAACCCTGAGGCTTACTGTCCACCAACATTCTAGAATATACTACCAATTAAACGTTTCATCTCCAACCTCCCACAAAAGTAACGGAGAGTAGACATCTTGTTTTTGCCTAACCACCCTCAATTTATGAAATGAAATCTCAGTTGTATATATCACTGCAACTATTAAAAAGCATTAAGGGCTATAGGTTGTATTTGAAATTTCCCAGAAAGCAGAAATTGTACTCCTAAATCAACTAAAACATTCTCATTTTAAAAGAATCCCAATTTAAGTATTTGCAAGGCACCTCATATGCACTTAAAATCCAGGTCCCTGAGAAATAATTGTCAAAAGGAAAGTTATAAATTTACTCAATGCAAAGTTCATTTTCTTGACATATCCACTTCAGAAATGTATTCTTATTATCAGTTGCCTTTCCGTATTTGCAACTTGAGCAACCAAAATTTGGGTAAAGTATGTTTATTTCATAGTAATGAGAGGGAAGTAAAACGTGGATTTCAACATGTATAGATTTTTTTTTTTTTTAATGTGGGTGCGGGAGAGGCATTTACAGATAGAAGTTATTTTCCAGAACTGCCTTTAGATTCATCATTCAAATGTAAGAGAAATCAGGAAACAGGCAATAGATATGGTCTGCTTATCCGATGTCTAGACTAGACGCAAACCCCAAATACCAAAGAAGCATCCATGTGTCAAACCAGGGTAATTTCTGTGCTATGCCTAGGGCCACTTGGGAGAGAGGAAAAAAAGTTAGCTTGAAAATAATGTTTAGGAGAAATATCTGAGACAACTCAGTCCACAGGAACTAGAAAGAAGAAATCAGGGTCAGCTAGCCCATTCCCAGTGTCATCCCACTGAAGCTGCTTCCTCCCCAAGCCCCATTTAAAATCTCAGAAAGGCCCAACTCCCTAAAGACTACCTAATGTCTTCAAGGTCATCCGAAGATAGCACAAGGAATAAACACCAACACTGATTGAGGCACATCTTTGAACCCACACACCCACCCACCTTCAAAACATCATATAAATATGTATAAGGCCACCAGAGCCAAACTCCCATACCTAAACCTAAGATGTTCAGGTTTTCGACATAAAAGGTTTAGTACGTCTGGTAAACTCTAGTTCACAAACAGGTGCTTTCTATGTACTTTTAATGACAAGGTCAAATTTAATTTCTTAAATTATTAGGAAAAAAGATCTTTTCTTAACCTTCCTTAGGACAACGGAAGGATTCGGAAGAGAAATACTGCTGGGGTAAAGCTGTCTTGGACAGGGTCCATGTTTAGCTAAGTAGTAAGTCCTAATCTTCCGAAAGCCTGCAGTGTAGTAATCTAAGGTCTATTAGATGGCAGAGAGAAAAAAATAAAAACAAAGGGAGCGACAAGGGCCATAGTTCCCAGAACCAACTGCACTCCCCTGCTGTACCAGAAACCGACACCCCCACCCAAGACACCCAGCCCCTCCCAGGGCCCCCTCCCACACACAAACACACACAAAGAAAACAGCAGCACGCACCATCCAGCCACAGTCCTCACTTCCCTTCCAAGCGACAGCGGGAGCCCCGAAACTTCCCCACGGAGGTTTTCTGGTGTTGTCGGGGATGGTTTCCAGGACTTGCAGACAAGAGCGGGGGTGGGGCGGCGCAGGGGGCCCGAGAGGGGCTCGACGCACTCGCTGGTTTCTCCGAAAGCGGCCAAAAGACCCCCACCGGTGCGGCCACAGCCCTCAGGTCCCCCCCAAACTGCGCTTTCCCTTCCAGCACGCGGTGACGGCGGAGACTCTAAGACAACAAACAGAAATGCTCCCCGGGAGAATGTGTTGGTAAATCAGACAGCCGGTGGGGAAGAAAGTTCCTTCCAAGGGCTGCTGGGCACGCCGAGGGCAGAGGGAGGTGAGGCGCGCCCCTCCCCGCCACCCTCACCTGCGCCGGAACAACGGGCCCCCGCGCCCTCCCGCCCGGCCCGGCGCCTCCCGCAGGCCGCGCCTCCCGCACGCTGCGCTGCCGGGGCTTGTTCCTCCTCATGGCTTTGCCCTGACGTAATTCAAACATGGCAACAGTTCGACTTCAAAGGCGAATCCACAGACCTCCCAGACACACTCCTGAGCTCAGGGTAACGGGCCGAGGACTCCGGCCCATGCTCCCCCGGGTCCTCGGTCGCCAAGGCAGCGAGCTCTGGGCTTAGGGATGAAGCGCCGAGGGCCCTGAAGGCTCCCACCTCTTGATCCGCTGGCCGGGAGCAGGGAAGCACGCCGCCTCCCCGCGCACCAGCATGGCACCTCTCACAAGTAGCGCAGCCAAAGTTTCCCCACGAGGGGCTGCGGGACAAAAGCCCCTCCTGAAGCTCGCCTGCACTTCCGAGAGCCCCAACTCGGGCGGCCCTCGGCCCTGGCGGCCGCCCCGAGAGCCCGTGGGGCCCGTACGGGCACATGCAGCTCTTTGTTTCTGTCCAGCCGGGCGCTGCCTACGTGCAGCATCAGGGATGTCGGATTGTTTCTCAGGGGCAAGAGCCTAGCGATCACTGCGGGAAAAGATCCAGACCCGGAGCCCCAAAAGTCACGAGCCCTGTCCTCCGGTCCTCTCCTAGGCAACAGACCGGTTTAATCAAAGTTTTGCAAGGTCCTAGATGAGAAAGTCCGGAATCACCCGCCCTACGCAAGTGGAGAGTTGGCGACTTTCGCTCTGCTTTTTAAACTGGCAAGACGCCATCACCAGCACATCACATTGTCCTGGCGGCCAGATCTACCCGACAGGAACCGCATTTCACTGCTGCTAATAAGCCGGACCTTTAGAGAGACATCCCACTGAAACCCAGGTCGCAGCCCCGAAGCACGTGGTCTGTCATGTTTAGCACAAAAAGCAGTGCCCTCAGGAGTTCACGCACTCCTCCAGCGCAGACAACGCCACTGCCTCCAACGCCCAAGTCAACTTAGTTTAATTGGCCATCTTAAACCGCTGCCGGTCGCCTTAGAAAGCCCTCGCCATGGCGCCCACGCTATGCTACAGGTGAATAAATTGGTAACAAAACTTAAGGCTCCAAAGAAACCTCGGACACCAAAAGCTCCATGGGCGCGGTCCGAGCACAGCAAGCACTGCAAGCCAAGGCTGTGCTCCAGCGGCCGCGTGTTGCTCTCATTGTCGCATCCGCATCCCTCCCGAGTTGAGCACCTAACACCACGCCGCGTGCACTCAATCCCAGTACTCGCCCCCCTCCCCCAATGCCACTTTCAAGCCCCTAGCTCCGGCCAGCTCAGAAGGAAAAGGCAACTTAGTTCTCGGGGCAATGGCGCTTATTGTCCACCCTTATCAAAACACGCGCAAGAAGCTGCAATCAACTAAAGCACGAGGTTTAACAACAACGCGGCCAGTGCCGGGCTCGCGCCCACGCGGATGCACGGTCCCGAGACCGCTCCGCAATCACCAGCAAGTCGTTTCTCTCTGGGGCCCTTTCAGCCATGGAACTCCTTTTAGGCAGCGAATACTGCGGCTAAGAAGTCATTGTCACCTTCAACGTGGATCCCTCAACTCCAGCGACTCCTCAGTTATTTCCAGGCTCCACTCAACCCTCCCTTCCCAAGACTTACAGTTTGCTTCAAATACCCTCCCCCCCCCCATTAAAATGCACAGTAAACATATGTATACAAAAGAAACTGTGGTCTGAAGATCAGGAAAGCGGGGCTCCTAGCAATGCCATCTCCAAGACAAAACTTCCTCTGTGTATGTGTGTGTGTTTGTGTGTGTAACGACTGGGGATGGTGGGTGAGGTGAAAAGAGAGGAAGGAAAAAATAAACCCTGAAATCAAAGCCTCGTGAACCAGTTTTGCACCAGAGTAATTGTTAAAGAGTCACTCACCTTTCTAAAAGCAGCGTTTCACTCGCAAAAACGTTTCCGAGTGTGGAGTGCACGACAGTCCAACCCCCTCCTCCAGCCGCTCCCTCCTCCTCAAACTGCCTTGTCTAGAAAGATTGTCTCCTGCAGTTCTGCAGTTGCTACCGCTGGCCGAGAAGGTGTAGATTCCGCTTTCCTTCTGCGCACGCGTAGCTCCCGGTACAAGATTCTCTTGAATCGAACTCATTTGCATGCGGGCGCGCGCGCGTCGAAGACTGGGGAGGGAGAAGGCCCGGCGGCCGCGCGCGCTCCCGAGGCCTCTATTGTCCTTTTAAGGGGAGAAGCGCCGCGGCGCGGGAAACGAGGCGGCCAGAGGGAAACGGGGGCGGGGACTGCTTACTACGGCGGACGTCACGTAAACAAACGGTCCCTGGCTGGAGACTGAGTCTGCGGGGGGAGTGGCAGGACGCGAAAGACAGAAAGGTTAGCCATCAGGGAAGAAACAGGCTCGGTGAAGTGCTTTCCACCAGTAGGTTGCGATGCACACCTTTTCGCAGCTAAGGCTCTATCCGTAAAATCCTCACACCTGTGCCCAGATTCAGGCCTGAAGTGACAGTGAAGGTGGTTTTGTAAACACCCAGGGCGAAAAAGTATTCTTTTCCCTTGTCTCCTAAATTTTGTTTAAAGTTGGAATTTTTTTAAGCTTCATATCCTCTGCAGGCAGCAGAGATTTCTTTTACTTTCATTTATAATAGGTTGTTTAATAAAGTTCCTTTCTGACATCCATTAGCTAACGCCCTCCTACCTTCTTAAACAGTTACCTAACCCACAACCTTTTCTATCTCCCCCTTCCCTTGATTTAGGCCATTAGATTTCAAGCTTGTTAAAGTTGAATGGTTGTTAATTTCCGTGGGAAAAATGCCGCTTTTTCAAAGGTCTAGTGAGTGGAAAGTCAGTAATCTAGGCACATGCATCCCTTCTACAGCTGCTTGTTACGGCTGTTTCCACTCCTCCAGAAATGGTAACACTCATTCCTAGGAAGTTAAAAAGTGGCGAGGGGGATACACAACTATTCCTTGTGGAATGAATGTATAATAATCCAAAAGTCTAAATGCTTCTACCCTCAGGGAAAACAAATACTGAAGTAAGTCTTCTTAGATTGATAAATGAGAAAAGAATAATTGTGATAAACCTTCATCCGGAGCACACACATAACCTGTACAGGCAAAGGACCTTGGCTTAACGATGCAAGAAAGCTGGGAAGAGAGGAAGGATGTTTATCCCAGAAATTTGATATTGGTCCCAAGCTACAAAAGTGTGAACATCAACCATAAAACTTAATCATCTGCTGACAAGTTTCACTGCTTCCACTGTAATGTCAACAATATGGATTTAAATAGAAACTTGCGAAACGCTAATTTAATTCAACAGCCAATTTCTAGTACATTTTTAGTACAAACCCACTTCTGAAGTTTTCAATTAATCCTTATTTGTTTGAGGGTTTGAGATCTGGTGTTGTTTTAGATTCTGCAGCATATATTCATATAGTTTTACATGAAAATTCTTTTTTGAACATTGGTGAAGGGGGGATGACACCTTGTCCTAATAAGTGAGACTTTTCAGTAGGACAGGTTACAGATTCTGAATAATTGTTGAATTATTTACAAACAACAAATCAACGAACAGCATAAAGTTTATTATAGTTTATCTCAAGGCAAAACTGTTTTGATTAGTTTACAATTTATATATTCCACCTGAAGTAAGTTTGGAAGTCATAATGATCATCTTAATTGGTATAATGCTTTTCTTGTCTTTAGATAATAAACGTAAATAGGCTTAATAATTGGGTAAAATTCTTACCTTGTTTTAAATATTTTTTAAGTTGTCCTGAGTTGTCTCGGGAGTTTATTTGCATTATGACAGAGGATCCAAAATTAATTGCAAAATTTTATATGTTATTCAAGGGATGAAACTCATAGCAATCCTTTTTAAATTTCAATGATTTCTTAACAAATATGGAAGTATACCTTTTATATTTTTATATTATAAATGCATTTCTCTTGGATACATATGTAGAGAATATATTTTTTAATTCCAAAGATGTTATAGCCTTAAATGTGTGAGTAATACAGAAATTACCATATTTAGAATGTATTGTTTAGATTTTAATATACCTGGAAGACTTATTGAATGAATATCATATGTCATCGTTTCCTCTAGGTCAAAGTAGGGTACAAGGAGTAATCTAAGTAATTTTTGTAGGAAAAACAGCAACAAAACTCTTAAAGAGAATTTGAACTCCTTAGTGGTTTTTATTGCTTTGTTTCAACTTTGACTTGCTATTTTTTTAACAACCAGGTGCCTTCCAAAATTCTTTTGTTAATTTTGTTGCTTAAATATGTTGTTGTGGCTGGATTTATATGTAGTCAGTAGCTCATTTATGGAATACTTAAAAATACTCTCACCTATGTAAACAGCCCAAGTGAATTTTTTAACATTTGAAAAAATAAAAGTTTAAATTTGGTTCACAGGAGGTTGAATTACAAGATGCTAGGAAAATATTTGACCATTTTTCCATACAATAGTGCTATTTGGAGTCATTGTGAGTTTCACAAAAATATTGCAATTGCTAAGTTACCAAATAATCTTGACAAAATCAACTACTTTACTTATATGTTGTAGTTCAGTGCTTGAACATTCATTCAACATTTAATAGTTGTGACTATATGTCAACCAAACCATTTCAGTCTTTAATGAGTTTATGGCATCTCACCTCATTACTTTCTCTGTAATTCTACATTATTTGCTATTATTCTTCTATAAAATTTATTGCCCTATTTTGAGATTTAATTGTTGGTAACTAAAGATTTTTTTTTTTTTTTGCATGATGCTCTTGTAATAGAGGGAAAATTATAGTAATCAGTGAGAAGGGAAACTTTTGTTTGGTACTATATGATGTTATCAGCAGTTTGACAAAGTTTGTAAATGACAATTCAAGCAAGGGATTATTTTTTCGAAAAGAAGCTTGGTCTCTTCATCCAAGTCAGGTACATCAAAAGATTGATTGTTGATTCCAGGAAAAAAGCTGATTATTATTATTTAAACATTAGGATTAGTTCCTTAGAGTGTAAATGCTATAAAACTATATAAAAGCTCTTTTCCTTACTATAGAGCTAGTACAGTATTTTGTTATTTATTTGTTCAAATTCTTTTGAAGTTCAAATAAGAGGCTAGAAGAAGTCAGATAGTTTTACACTTAAGTTCTAATTTGGCTATATGATCTAAGATACTTCAGTCCTCTTACAATACCTACTTAACCAAAATTTACATTTCAAGTTTCTGAGCTTAAAGAACTATCACAATCCATTCTCAAGAAGAATATCCTCTGGATTTATCATTATTTAATGACTTTTGAATAGCATACTTTAAAAAGATGACGTTACAGAAAATAAAAATAATTTTATTTAGGGAAAAAACATGACCGCCAAGAAAACAAATGCGTGTCTTGGAGAAGGTGAAACCAAGTTTCTTCTTGCAGGCTAGAATTTTGAAACTCTGTCTGTCTTACATACTTTGGGCATATGACTGGGAGGGAAGGTCCTTGGAGAAAGACATCATGCTTGGAAGCGTGGAGGGACAGTGCAGTAGAGGGAGACCCTAGATGAGATGGATTGACTCAGTAACTGGGGTAATAATGTTGGAGTCAGTGAGACTGTCTCAGAACAGGGCAGGCTACATAGGTTCACTATAGGCGACTCGATGGCACATAACAACAAAAGAAAAAATATTAAAACAATGGAATAAATTCAGAGAAAAGTAAACTAGGGTGAATAAGGAGGCTAAAAGCACAACGTAAAAGCAATAATTGAAGGAAGGAGCATGTTTAGCTTCAACAGAGCAACAATCTTAGATTGCATAAAGAACTGTTATTAGAAAAGTGGATTAACTTGTTCTTTTATTATTTGAACCAAAATTGGTTTTGAAAAAATCAGAAGTAAATTCTTGCTGAACATATAAGTATCTATAAGTATCTAAACATAAAAATATTCTAAAGATGTTTCAAGTTACTTAAGAAGGCAATTCTCTGTTATCATATCACAAATAGTATTTACGCACACACACACACACACACACACACACACACACACACACACACACACACACACACACCAAAACCCCAAACCCCCCATAATTCTTAAATACTTCAACTGAATGAATTCTTTTATTTGTGATAGAAAGTTAGCTAACCTCCAACTTCCTATCAAATTTTATTAACCCATCTTTCCTTGAAATAAATAAATGCCTCGAATTCAGGAGAGGGATTTGTCACCGTGGTTATGAAG